TGTATGGAGACAGAGCAGCACCGCTGCAGCAAGGGTTGCAGTGTTTGGTTGCTGCAGCACAGCAGCAGCAGCAGCAGCAGCGGGGCCGCGTTGCTGCTGCCCTTCTACCAGCAGCACCGCCCCCTTTGCTGCTGCTGCTGGTGCGAGCGCATGCAGCAGCAAGAGCAGCAGATGCAGCAGCAGCTCACCGCTGCCTAGAGGGGTGGCACACTACTGACGTGCTGCTATCGAAGGCCTTGGTTTGTGACGATCCTCTTGAGGTTTTGTCTTTGTTTAATCTGCAGCAAGCTGCTGCTGCTGCTGCTGCTGCACCTGCTGCTGCACCCGCTGCTGCACCTGCTGCTGCTGCTGCTGCAGCAGCAGCAGCGGCTGCTGCAGTACCCGAAACACTCGAAAGATTGGGGCTGCATGCGCTGCTAGATGCTTACCTTGGCAACTCCTGGGCACCGCCACATACTGCTGCTGCTGCTGCTGCTGCTGCTGCGGACTCTTCTGCTGCTGAGGCAGCAGAAGCAGCAACTGCTGCTGCTGCTGCTAGCTGGCTGCAGCGCAAAGCCTCGTGTCTTTGGCGTCTTAGGCAGTGGACGAGCCCTGTTGGCGAAGCAGCAGCAGCAGCAGCAGCAGCAGCAGCAGCACCAACAGCAGCAGCAGCAGCAGCAGCACCTGTCTCCTTCCTTATCAACTCCATTCCCGGCAGCAGCTGCAGCAGCAGCAGCAGCAGCAGCAGCAGCAGCAGCAAGGCTCAAGGTACTGCTTTTCTTGCCACCGCTCTGTCGCTGCAGCACGCAGCTAAACGCATGCAAGACTGTGGGGCTGTTCGAGTGTGTGCTGCTCTGCAGCAAGCAGCAGCAGCAGCAGCAGATAGAGCTTTTGCTGCTGCTATGCAGCAGCTGCAGCAGCTAAACCCCTCAAATGAATCTGCTGCTGCAGCAATCGATTGCCTCGTCAGCCTCCGAATGGCGAAGTCTGCTGCATGCACTATTGCTGCTGATGTACCCCGTACGCCCTCATCCTGCTGCTGCTGCTGCTGCTGCTGCTGTTGCTGCTGCTGCTGTTGCTGCTGCTGCTGTTGTTGGTGTCGCTGTAACTGGGGCAGCAGCGGCAGCTGCTGCTGCTGCGGTTGCTGCTGCTGCTGCTGCTGGTTCTGGCGCATCTGCTGTTGCGTCTCCATGGTTGTCTTGCTGCTGCTGCTGTTGTGTTTGCTGCTGTTGCTGCTGCTGCTGCAGGCCGCCTGTCTTTGCTGCAGTATGAGTGGGAGCGTGAGCTAGCAGCAGCAGCAGCAGCAGCAGCAGCAGCAGTAGCGTCGCCGCAGCAGCAAGCCTTCGTAGAGACTATTGAGCCCCTCGGCGCACTACAGGTTGCAGCACTTGCTGCTTCGTTGCCAGGCCCATATGCTGCTGCTGCTGCAGCAGCAGCAGCAGCAGCAGCAGCAGCAGGAGCAGCAGCAGCAGGAAGAGGAGGGTTCCCCTCCGCAGCAACAGCAGCAGCAGCAGCAGCAGCAGCAGCAGCAGCAGAAGAGGGT